AAAAAAAAACCACTGCTTGTTTCAAGTAAGTGTAGTTTATTTGATGAAACACGACTGTATTCATTAAAAGTTTTTACTACTCATTTATCAAGAACATATTTCAATAAATTTTACGTCTGGAACATTGTTAGAATACTGAAAATAAATGTGATACAAGGCAAGAACTGAATCTAATCTAGTATTTGTGTTCCCATGGGTGTGCAATCTGGTTACCTATGCTACATGGACACCGTGTCCATGTAGCATAGGCAGATTTGTCAGACTTGTCCTTTCTAGCATTAAACCCAGGTAATCTTTGAACTGTGTCTTAAAATACTAGACACAACAGACTAGAATTCATTGGTAATTTTTATCACCGCATCACTGAAATAACCAGTGTTCATCATCATCCTAAAACACAATGTAAGCATTACATGTAGTACAGAAGCTTGAGAAGTTAAGTAGCTGTGTAAATGGAGCAGGTTACAACCCACACTGTCCTTAATAATGATGTACATTTGCAATTAAGTTACAGCATTCTTTAAAATCATCTATAATATCTAAAACTACTGATACACCGCCATATTGTATAATCCTAAGCATGCATTACCTATGCTACGTGGACACCGTCCACATAGCATCTACGCAGCTACACGGACACCATGTCCATAACCCAATTGATTGAATTGTCTCTTCAATCATTTCATTTGTGTTAATTTTTGCACTATTTTGCAGAAAACGTCAACTCTTTCTCAGCATGTGTGGATGCACCTCTGTTGTTACTGTGAATACCCTGTGGACACAAATGGCAATTACTTTGGCTTACAAATTAGTATAAATTAACCTACATTTAAGCACACATTAAAATACACTCTAATGCCACAAGTTCAGTCACATTCAATGATTAAGTTAAGGAAAGGATGGCGAACTAAAAAGTGTTCCATGTATACCTGCAGTAGCACCATTAAAATTGAACACGTTTAAAAGGAAAATTTGACATGAAACATATACCAGCCTTCAAAATAATATGGAAATCAATAGCCCAGAAATTACCATGCAGCTTCAATATACTTCACATGTGATTGTTAACCAGATATATCACTTTGTGCATTTCTCTAGGTATGTTGCCAAAGCCAATGAGATATCTTTGACTAGTTGTGTGTCAAATCCAAGGTAACGAGATGTCACAGGGGCAGGTGGACAAGGCAACCGTCTGAAAATCCCAGTCTTAGCAACCCATGCATCATCTTTCTGTGTTGGCCAGCAGAACTTATTTGGGCCTTTCTGTGTAAGGAAGTTGACGTGACACATGCTGCCGTTGACATCCGTCACTTCACCTGCCCACCAAGCATCGTCATAGATGACGGCCACATAGTCACCAACTGCAAAGACAATGCAAAACAAGAGAATGTGAAATTGCAGTTTTAACAAAAAGGCACAGCTTACCGTTAGTTTTTCCATCAACAAACTTCCACTGCAGTTATAATGAAGTATTTATATTTTATTCCCATAATCTTGTCATTTAAAATAAAACTTTTACCAAAATTAATGTGAATTCATTAAGTTGAATCGAGCAAATCAAATGTAAATGTGCACAGTATAAACAGAGAGACAAGGAGTGACCATGTGTTTTTAAAAAGAAAGATCTGCCTAAAAGGAAATTTTAAATTGTAATAATTGTTAACATACCTTTGTAGTCCAACTCTGCATCAGTGGAGGGAACTGGATTCGAAGCCATGGAATCTGAGTTGGTTGCCTCGGTAGTCGCATCTGGGTTGGTCGCATCGGTAGTCGCGTCTGGGTTGGTCGCCTCGGTAGTCGTGTCTGGATTGGCCGCCTCGGTAGTCGCATCTGGGTTGGTCGCCATGGTAGTTGCGTCTGGATTGGTCGCCGTGGTAGTTGCATTTGGATTGGTAGGCTCAGTTTCTGGCATTACGTTTTCACGTGATGTAGTATGGGCTCCAGCAGCTCCACCCACCATGGTAGTGATGACATAGGGTTGAACATATTCTGTGTTGGTGCATGAACCTGTGTCTTCACTGCATGCTTTGCAAAAACAGGACAGCTTGCGGACACCGATGACATTCGGTTTGATGGAGAGAATGCTATGAAATTGTCTGGTACCTGCCACCGTCTTTCTCGCATGGCGATCTCTTTTTCGGTCTATGGATTCCAGCCAAAATGCTTTTCTGAAGAAATGTATGCAATCGCCATCCTCACCCATTCCTTCTTTGGGCAGAGTTGCTGTGCGATCAATGAACTTGTACAGGTCTCGGGCATTTGCAATAACTTCAGAGCCAGACATCACTGCATCTGTAGCAAGTCGCTTTACTACACCACTTTCGCCGTCACTTGGCCCTTTGCCATGACGTGAACCAAAGTACTCATGTTGGAATGCAGTACAGTAGTCTTCCTTTCCATATGAAATGTCCAGAAATGGACTGCGAGATTTGTATTGACTTCCCGCACCATCAGAAAACCTGACAATCTTCTTGATGTCTCCCAGTTTTTTCTTTAGATGGTTGATGGCCAGTGCTGTAAACTGATGAACAGCGTGGTGGTCATGATTATTGTCTGCCGTTATCATAATTAAGGACTCGGTGACGGGCTTACGGCAATTTGGACATCGGTAGTAGGAAATAACTGGGTGTATTGTGGCTGACTCATGCCCCCAGTGTACGCTTTGCACCTCGTCCTGGAATCTGCAGGAATAGTTCTCTGCAAAATCGCAAACCAAGATAATCCAGCCATCAGGTGGTGATTTTGATATTTGTTGGAACTCATTACTTTGCCATGCTGCCGTAAACAGATGTTGGGAAATGGACTTTGCATCTCCTTTCAACTCTTCCAACAAATCTTCCAGTGTCCCTTGTTTCGTATTCAATACCATTCTGTGTGTCTTCTTCCCTTTCTCTTCTTTGCTTTCACGCTCCCATTTCCTCCAATTTACATGGCCTTCATGCTTTTCTCGTAATTCCTGAAAAGCAACATCAAGTTGCGATGTCCCGCAATTCTTACATTTCCGCTGGATGCAGGCAATTTGTGGTATTTCTGATCCTGCTTTTTTGTACACATTGTTGCATCACTGAACTGGTAGATATTCTCAAAGAGAGAGTGGTTTGCAAGTTTGTTGATTGCTGTCAACTTAAGTTCAATGTTCGCACAATATTCACACAGACAGCCTCTGTATGTGATCGAATGACGGGTCTTGATGTGTGCCGGTTTCAAGTCTGCAAATTTTGACAAGCAAACTTTCATCTCCGGGTTGTCTTTCTGAAATTTTCCATGTAGCGCCCTTATGGTCATGGTCAGGAATCCAGTTGCTTTCTTGGTTTTCTTACTCACAACTTCTTGTCTGGAAGTGTAATGGAGTTTTCCTCATAGCATCTTTGTATGGTCTGCTTTGTCTTGTTTGGAAGTAGGCGAGCATGTGGCTTGAAAGAGGGTAGCTTCAGAGTTTTCGCCGTTGTCTTGAGCTTTTCGCATACTCTCTTCTGGCATCTGTATCTCTTTGCAATTTGGAGTGCTGGCGCGAAGATACGCTTCAGCTCGCCGTCTTTCTTCTTTCTGCTCTTTCGTAGGCTACTCATCTTCTGTGACACAGTGGTGTAGATGATTTTTGTTGCAACATCAGTTGTGATGCCCTTCTCATGAAGAAGACGCTTCTTCCTTGGGGATGCTCTTTGCACAAGATCTTCGACTGTTTCAGCATATATCTTTGGATCTTGGGATAGGGAAGACCTGGCTCGTTTTAGGCTCTGGCGTCTTGCATCTTGTGATCTTTCCTCATGTTGTCCCATGTCCTCTAATTGTTGCCATGCTGCTTGCAAGCGTTTCTCCTCTTCCGCTAATCGTTTCTCTTCCTCTTCTAATCGTTTCCTCTCTGCTTGTGCTTCCAAAATTTCTCTCTCCTGTTCCTGAATCATCTGTTGCTGCCTGATGCACTCTTCTTTTTCTTCACGTCTCTTCTGGCGTCTCCTATCCAAAATCTGTTGTTTCTTTTGATCTGATAGTCTAGCCCTTTGCTCTCTTTTCTTAGCAGCTTGTATTTCTTTCCGCTTTGCTTCTTTATCCATTTCAGCTCTCGTCCTTTTCACAGGTTTTTTGCTTTTATCTGCCTGTTTCTTTTTCTCTTCTGCTTCTCTTTGTAACTTTTTCTTTGCTCTATATTCTCTCTGCCTCTTCGCATTACGAGCTAGATACTCTCTTTTTTTGGCCTCATTTCCAGGAAGATTTAGGTCTTCCATTTTCTCTGCTCGTCTAACTCTGGCTTCAACAGCTTCACACTGCAAGAGTGCTTTGTACTGCTTCGGGTCACTTTTTCTTTGTTGGCGCCAATGAGGTTTCTTGCTGTTGATACTTCCGTCATGTTGATCAGCATTGCTCTGGTATGTCTTGAAAGACCGCAACCGAAGTTGGAAAGGAGTGGATGGCTTTGGTGACGATTTTTTCCGTGGCATTTTGATCAACAGCAATTCTAAAAATCAAATTAAATAAATGTTACGAAATGAAAGCTGAACTGTGAACATGGTTAATTTGGTCAACATAAACATTTCAAATTACCATGAACTTGACTTGCATTGGATGGAATAAAGTTGATGACCATTTAGAACTGACCAAAAACCTGTCCAAAATAGCTTGGCTTCTAAATGGTGTAGCATTATAGCATTTATTCCTAAGAAAATCAAGTTTCCAAAAATGAAATTCAGAATCAAAACAATTAAAAGTTCTTGAAAAGGAGGGGGTTCGGCCCCCCAAAAAGCATGGTGTTGCAAGTCTATTTTGTTGACTTCTATCATTTATTTCCTCTGATCAGCTGATAAAGACATGAAAAAAAATGAGTGAGGCCACTGTTCATTTGGAATCTTATTTTATTAATTGGATATTGCGATTGAAATTTTTCTTTTTTTGCACGTTGTGGCTCCTTTATTTCATTCCTGTTTCAAAATTTGGGAAATTTCAAGAGAGGCCAGCTTTTGATTTATTGAAATAAGAATTAGGCCAGCTTAAAAAAAAAATCAATTTTCAATGAAAATCCACACTCATTTTTGTGCACAAAAAATGTTTCCCTCCACATTTCACATCATGATCCAAATCATGCCTCAAATCAGTGTTCCTTTGCTTTGATGTGTCCGACGAAATCCAAATTTAATATGGCCTACTAGGCCTATGTTATGGTGTTTTATGATATCCTCTGCAAGATTTAAAAATAAAGCAGGCAGGCACCAAAAAAAAAAATCAAAAGTTTATTGACCTCCAGGCCTACCTAGCACCTGGGCTAAAAACGTGCAGGCCTAGGGCTGAATGTCCGAAATTCCAAGCAAAATGTCTGCATTGTTTCATTAATATCAATTTTAAGCCACACATTGTGACTGACTAGGTTGCAAGGTCACGAAGGTCATAAACCGTGCACATGGCTTTGTGCGTCGATGTGCAATACCGATGCTACAATGGACACCGTGTCATGGCAATAAACTGTAGCATCGGATAATTTTCATGAAGTCAACGTATTCAATAGACGTCTGTAAGTTTACAGACACTTCCAAATATAAACCAATCGTTTTCAAATACTCCGCATTGGATTGGAATTCAAATTATCCTTCCTTTTTCATGTCATGTCCATTTTCTTCGCGAGAATGTACCGATGCTACATTGGACACCGTGTCCAGTTAATCATGTCCGGAGATTCATTTTCACAAAGCTATGCTTGCTGTGGCAAAAATATCGCATTATTTCAAACTTATCGATACAATCAGGCACATAGTTACCGAAAATAATAAACAGCATACTCACCAGTTGTTTATTTCTCCAAAAAGCCGAGAATTTAACGTACCGACGCTACAAATTGTACCGATGTTACGCAAGGACACCATTCACTCACAGACCAATTCCTGTTTCCACGTGTGTGGAAACTCCCAAGTGCCGTGTTCCACACATTATCGGTGACGTGGCAGTTCGTGTGGGGCTGAACCATTCTCAGAAAGGGTAGGATTTCTTTCGATGGATCGCGAAAATTGTACCGACGCTACATTTTCCCGCGTGGACACCGCATGGAAAGCAGATTATACCTTCGGCTGTACAGCGAAAATTTGCAAGCATGTCGAAATTTTATTAATTAAACCTCGTTTGTAACACATTCGCCTTATTTGTGGGTTAAAAGAAATCAGTGGAATCTGTTGCACAAATCAGACATCCATGATCAATACCGACGCTACGTTATAATTATTGGTGGACACCGCGCGTAGCATCGGTCGGGGCAAATTTGCCGACTCCGTTATTGAAAATGACTGACCACACCGACATATTTTGTTTTTCATTAAGGACAAACGATGTTAGACCGTACGCTGTCTACGTTTTTTTCTTTTTAATTTGTTTTTTGTTCGAGAAAAAAAAGTGTGAAAAATGTGTTTTTGCATGTCACACTTCGTCATTAAAAATTGATGCTGGACACCAACAGTTTTTTCTATTTTTTTTTATTTTACAAGCCATTAAAGTATTTAATTTTTTACTCAAGCATACTTCAACATTAGGTCTTCCTAATAAAACACCCGTCCATGGTACTCGTCGGTGCTTCACCAAGTAAAACTCATTTCAATCCCCATGATCTGGCACATAATGAGGATATCCCAACTTCATGGACAAACCCATGTACATGTACACTGTATAAACACACACCTGTACATGTGCATGTATGCAAGCTTGAAATTTGCATGCAGGGACATTAGACCTGACATGCATGTATCATAAAAACCAGTTTGCACTCATAATAAATGCCAAGTTGATTGTGTATGTGTACAGGTGACCTGTTGAAGCATCAGCTTTGTGGATGCTGTACTGTTATTATGCATGCGTGTAATTACAAGCTGCATGTGAGGTGCATGTATATAGGCCTACATGTAGTCGTACTTGGGATATTGCCAACCCATGCACACTCGTTTTGCCAAAAACTACATTTTCAATGAGCCATACTCTTTGACCAGAAACTACCTTTTGTGATGTAGGCCTACAGTATAACCCAAGCCTTCTCTGAAATGTTACTGTCAGTTTACACTAACATGTACATGTATACATGTACGTGCAAAAACCTGCCCAAGTGCACTGGACAAATGTGTACATGTACATTGTTAGTCATAAAAATGGACATGTACTGCTGGAGAGAAAATGAATGTTCTAGAACAGCTAACCAGGAATTGATTGTAATTTAATTGTAATGTAATACCCATACAGACTTGATTTTAGGGTCTACATTAAAAAAAATTACTACTACCAACACTGCATGTATTAGGAGTACATGAAGCATCCTTTGTATCAGTGTATTGGGCTTCACTCCAGGTTACTTTGAGGAGAGCGTTTGATTAATGAGTCTTAGAAAATAGATCCTTCTTGTCACTCTAACGACAAGGGTAATATTCCACGACAATTTGATTAGCAGTCTGCTCTTGCTAGGCCAAACCTTGTCTGAGCTGAGCTCATCCCCCAGATCATTAAAAATGATTTATAAAGAGTAGTGACGAGTAAAAGTGTGTCGGAAAACGCTTTAAGTATCAAGTGTGGAGATGAGCAACATGTTGGTACATGTGTGCTTCTTTGCACCTCTGCACAAGCTTGATTGATGGAACATAGGTGTAACTGATTAATGGTTGTTGAAGTAATTGAGTATCATGCCTCAGTGCCTTGGTACAAAATAAGACTTAAAAGGTTTATTGCTCCACAAATCACTGCAGTCTCTGTGCTGCAACATACATCTACATGCACTACCTTAACCAAATTTTCAAGGCTTTCAATGCCCTCAAAAGCCCTCCATTCAGTAGCAACTGATTGTGTTGCCCCATTCAGAGCATGAAAGCAAGGTCAGTAAATATACCCCATTATTACACCTGATTACATAACGGTGGGAGTAGGTACCAGACTTTGCCAATAAAAAAATAGTCATGGCCATTGATGGTGTACTGGTACTTACATGTACATGTACATGTACATGTGTGGCACTGGTGGTTACTTCTGTTTTCAGTCAAGACTGGCATGTGAAGAAATGCTGATGGTCCAAGGTTGTACATTTGTAATCTTATCCTGTAATATCCTGGTTGTTTATGAGCAAGTCTACTTGGGTTGCTTAAGAAAGAGGAGTCTTACAGTAATCCGACCCCTTGTTGGCCAACTCCAGCTTTGTAAGCTGGCAATGTGGGCCCAGCAAGTGGATTTTGGCAGTCGATTAGCAAAACTTAATTTTCCCCCTCCTGATCAGACACAGTGATTATACACCCCAACTAAAGCATCAGTCAATCAATCTGAAACCCTTGGTCCTGCCTCTCTTATCACTGTATGAAACTAGGATTACAAGTCTGGAACCAACAAATTGCAAGTCAGGTTGTGGAAATCTGGATTAGTCTCTGGGTTGCAGGTGGTGGGTGAGGTGTCAGACACAATTCATAATTGACTTGCCGAGACTTACCAGGGATCTTCCTTAGACCAAAGCTCATTGCTGGGACCAACAAATTGACAATGTTTATCCATGTTAAATTCCTGAGCGCTCCCCCTTTTGAAAGGGGATAAAAGTCCTTTCAGTTGTAAAGCTGATGAGGAAACTCCTGTGTACTTTCAAGGATGGACCACGCCTTGCATGTACTACAGGTACCTTTTTTTTTGGTCACTGATCCCCTGGGTCCTTATTTTGTAATGTGGGAATAAATCCAGAGCCAGTGGAAGAGAAGAGCTGTAATTTCCTTTCTAAGGATGTGCTGAAATAAGGGTTTTAGTCCCTGTTTTTGTCAGTAGCAAAGGTTAGGGAGCATAAAACTTGCTGCTGGACATGTACATGCTACATATAGAGTACTTACAGTATACATTGTACATGTACATGTATACAGTACATGTACATGTACATGTATGTATGTGTGCTGGACAGTTTGGAGTAAAATTTTTCCCAAAGCTTATGAAACATTGCATCTTTCAGAAATCCTGACAAAGTGGTTTGTAATGCTTTCTTGGGGTGCACGACAGCGTTTTTAAATGTGTAAATCATACATTTGGACTTTTTCTCTGCTCTGGCTTTGCTAAATGGTACATGCTGTAGCAGCTAATTGGACGATGTACATGTGTGCATGTACTAAGGGACATTGTGGCAAGCTTTGCTGTTTCTCTGGATGCCCTCAAGTGTATGCTGTGATTCACGCAGAAGATACTGGTAACTTCACTGTTCTCAAGATTGCCAGGAGATAACTGAATAAGGCTGTCCATTGTACATCAGCCTACAGGCTCTTGACAAGTTGTCCACATGGCTATGCAGCATTTTTACAGTAGCATTTGCGAGTTAAATTTGAATAAAATCTGGTACACTGAGTTCTTGAGTTCTTCAAATTCACATGAACATAACAACTTGAATTTTCCATACTGAAGACACTGTTGTTATACCTCGTGATTCAGGGCAAAATTTTGCTTGAACACTGTTCTCAATGGATAAGAATGGCACAAAGGAACCAGTCCATTCCAGAGATGGTGGTCGCGATGCAAAAGCTTGCCCCAAATCACAAGGTGTAGCAACAGTGTCTTTAGTCAGGGGAATTCAAATTGTTACGTTTTTGTGCAATCAGATAAGAGGGTACCAGATTTTATTCAAATTTAACTGGCAAGTGGCTTATTGGGACAAAAAAGTCCTGTGGAAATACAAGTAAGCATTTTGCCTTTGGAAAAGAAATTCTTCATATATATTTTGGGAATACATGTGCATACAGATGATAAGAGTTGATATTACCGGGTAGTCATTATGTAGACCCTGTTTACATCTATATACTAAGTAAATACTTTCAGACATTCATAGTAGTGTATGGTACCGTACATGTACCTGTAAATTATGGCAACAATTTCCCCAAAAGGTTCTCCGTGTGATAGATTGATATTGATTCAAGTTCTAGTCAGTACCATTGGACCATTAATCCATGCCTTGGCCTGCATGGGGTTGTGCAGGCTAGTGTGGCTCAGGATTTTCCTGTCAGTGGGGACCTTTTGCCACTTATCATAGGAGTTCTGGCTCCCAGGTGTCTGAGCGCTCTGCCAGGAGATAACGTTCTGGTGCCCGTCCTGGTCTTCACCATCTCATCTCTCCCCTTGAAGGGCCTGTCTAGCCACTGGGGCCAGCTCCCAGTGCAGGTTACAAGAGCAAATACTGCCGAGACAGCACAGTGGCATCAGTTGTTTGCCCACAGGAAGAGAGAGTGGATGGAGAATGATTGGGTGGACACGTGCATGCGTTCAGTGGAGACTGTGCCAGTTTTTCATGTGCACAGAGAATAGTGTTACCATCAGACATATGTACATGTACCAGTAGCTACTAAAATCTGTTGCAGCACAATCCCAGAGAGTGTATTGCAACTTTGCAAGTGCCCAACTTCGCCTTGACAAGCTGATTTCCTCCGTTTTTGCTTCCTGCGTGTGCCTTTAAAACTTGATATACGTTGTGCAAACTCAATCTTTTTCAGCTTGGAATGTTTGCACACCTGATGGACAAAGAAAAAAGAAATTTGCGCCGGTAAAGCATATAAAGCCTTCATGAGTTTGTAACCAACAGATGCCTTCCCGGTACAATGTTCATGCTAAAATTCGTTCGTACAAATACATACATGTAAATGTACTGGTATGTTACTCTGAAGACAATTATAAATGTTTTCCTTGAACCGCATTCACATTTGACTCACTGACTGTCATTCTTCCACAACCTGGATGGTTCTGCAAAATTTTCACTGCAGGACAACCGACATTCAAGTTGACACTTGACAACTGTGACTGCCTACAGACTTTCTAGATTCTACATCAGATTTAAAGTTGTCCAATCAACAACGGTCTTTTGAAGTTTGAATAAGAGGTCCAAATGCAAACAGGACTTTATACTTTCTGATATTAGCTGGTGTGTACCGTCACTTCAACTGAGCAAGAACATCAGACTCTGGTATCCTCTGACATGAGGCCTCTTGATTCTGTTGACGAAAGCAACGACACAGGGCTCCAGGACAAACTGGAGGATCGTTTCTTGAAGTTGAACCAGGCCTTTCGTCCATTAAGCCCATGGCTCGCTGAGTGAAACTGCAAGTGCATCTCTCTCTTGTCAGGGAGATGTGGCCTGCATAATGTATGAGCACCTAATCTGGTTGGAATTTATTACAGCCAGACTTGGGGACTAAATGGGTACGTGACAAGCAAGGTGAATTATGCGCAGAGCACGTGTGCACATCTAAGATTGATATCGCTGCACGGTGTTCTTCACTCGCTAATTAAGCAGTAATGAGCTCTTCATATTCTCTGTGTATGGTGTGAATCATTACATAGATGTACATGTAAATCGTTATAAATCAGCTAATTGTATCTACTTGTATTAAATGGAAGTCTTCATTTTCTTGAAGGAATAACGCACAACTTATGTATGTACATAGTACGAAGTGTAATTACATAGGCCTACATGTACCGGTAATACGCAACATGTACATGTATGCTTGATTAGCAGGCTTGCATACCCATATGACCTCATTTTTCTACATGTGCGTGACTCATATTTGAAAAAAGAAACACCTTTTGAGGGTTCAGGGAGAGATCAGCAATTGAGGCCCCCTGCCTGGAGTGGTACCAGGAATCAAAAAGTGTCAATAAATCAAACCAAGTTGAA